CTCACGTATTAAAAAATAGTCGGGTTTAAATCGGGCTCGGGCTCATAATTACAGTTAATGTGTCGGACCGGGTCGGGCTCGGACACAAGGTGCACGGGCTCGGGTAGGGTCGGGTTTAATTTTTTGGGCCCGATCTAAGCTCTATTTTCTTCTACTACCTGTTATTCATTTCTCTTTCCCTGTTTTGCTGATATATCCATAATATGGCTTTTTTTTTTTTACAATTTTTACTTTAATTTGACTTTGATATTACATTAATTCCTTCCTTCCAAACTTTCCTTGACCTGCACATTAGCTGCATATTTTATTCGGCTTCTCTATCTTTGGTTCTTATTTTAATCCCATGTGAAGCACTTTAAGCCGCATTTCATATTATATAAATAAAGATTATTATATTGTCATTATAGAGGAAGAAAGGAAGCTCCGCAAGGCAGGCCTGCAAATCAGCCACACACTGGCCAGAGGCCTGCCCTCCTTAGCAGGGCCAGGCTGTTTCTCACCCTTGCAGACCACAGAGACCACGTCTCCAGTCAGGATTAAAGGAGGAGCCTTTATTGAAGGGTGCTTGTGGGATTTCAGAGAGAGACTTTGGGAGAGGCAGTTGGGGCCAGTTGTCTTGGCAAACTTATGTAGTTTGTCAAACCTTCATACGACGGCCTCACATTCTGCTGAGAAGATGCATGGCACGTAAAACCCAGCACAGCGATTCGCATTCAGATCGTCATTTCTTCGACTCCAGCGCATTAGTCTCCAAGGAGAGGGAGGGCGCCATGACGAAGGGGCTAATCGCTAACGGACTCACATCAAGCCGGTATGCCGATCTCCAAGCTGATCTCCAGAGGTGCTTAACAGAGGATTCCCTTTATTTTATATCCATTAAGGGGTATTCCCAGCTTTAAGTGGAATAAAGGGTGTCCATTATCCCAGGCAAGTGCTTCCCAGCATCGATAGGGTAACGTGGGCCTGGATCTCCAGGCCCTGAACTGGGACGGCTCCATCTGTGGCGTTTGGAGCTGATGGGCAGCAAAATCAACCAACTATTGAGGGGACTACCGCTTAACAGTAGCATGGCAACCCACAGTGTGTTGTGGGAAAACCACAGCTTGGACCTCAGGCCTGACGGAAGCCATGAAGGGACATCTAGAATGGCGGCGTGGGGCGTTTACCCCCTTAAAGCAGCGTTTCTCAGACCGGTCCTTGGGAACCCCCCCCGACAGTCCATGTTTTTGCTCCCTCCCATCTCCGCAAAAACGTGGACCATCTAGGGGGGCCCACAAAGATGGGGTTGAGTAATGCTGCCTTAAAGCATGCGATCTGGACCTCAGCAGCCCAAACGCCTGGCCATGTCACACACCTGATGTCCTCCAGCAGCTCGGCACCCAGCTGCTGCTTGCCCTGCAGACAGACCACCTGCTCAGAGAAGGCCAGCTTCACTTCCTGGGTCTGCTTCACCTGCCAACGAGCGGCACAGCCAAACTGAACGGACTCACATGTCACACTTAAATGCCAAATAAAGAAAGTCCTATGCAAGACGAATATTACAAACCAAATATTAGCGTCATTTGAAATGTTATATGTTCTAAACATTTATAAATAATATTTTAAGAGACCTCTGGTGTTTCGGTGAATTAAACTGCCTAGTGTTTCGCAATACGAAGATTAAACGAGAGAACCAAAAAAGACCGAATATCTCACGTATCACACTTAGGCTACTACCCACGCATCATAATATAGTACCTAAAAGTGGGAATAAAGCGCAGCTTGTAAGTAGTGTGGGTCCATAACTTGTCATATTTAGTCAAACTATGTATAAGACAACAGTTTTTAAATGCAATGAGTTTGACCCGGTCGAATTAAACATTAAAAAATCAATCGGCATCTTGACATGCAGAAGGCGGACGACGAAGGGCTGCCGGACACACAGACCTTCGGCAGCTTCTTGGTGCAGCACTGTCCTAAAGATCATTACCTTTCGGGGCGGGGGCTGCATTTTCCGCTTTTTTTTTGCCGTCCTGTCCTCCTTCGGGTACTTTGCGTTTTATTCCCTGCTTTCCTCCTCCTTCTTTCCTTATTGCATGGTGTTTCGAAGCACTTCCCGAGAAGCGAGCTGACTTCTCGGTTCCGCGCTGAGGAGCATCAAGCTCCAGCCGGCCGCTGTCGTAGGAGGAGCTGCGGTTTCACCTGCGCCGCTCCGCATGCGGTCTGACAGCGTCCCCTAGTGAGGTCCGCGGAGGTCTCCTGTTCACTCGGACTGACCCCTGTGCGCGGCTGTAATGCCCGTAAATCTACATTACAGCGATTGAGCAGTATAGCACATATAGACAGTTTATATTCTGCTCATGGAGTAAAACTTTAATTTCTAATAATCGGAAACCTTACCAAAATTCTTTAAGTTATGTTTTATTTATACATTACATGCATCCATCTTCTTACCGCTTATTCAGTACAGACTTTATGTTAATTTTTCACCTAGGCCCATTTTTGATGTATTCCGGTGTCGCTGTGAAAACGCTTAACAAAACTAAAAGTCCAGAGGCAGGGGAGTTACTGTTGAAATTGTTTATTAAATAGTTTACAAAAAAATAAGTAACAATTCATTTTCATATACAGTGGCTGAATAAATTTTTAGCTTTTAGAGTTTGTGTTATTTATATGCTTATATATGTTATGTAATTGGTTAAATATATTCTCGACTTTTTTTACAAAGTCCTTTTGTGACACCAGACGTTGGAGCTGCAGTTCGTCCCAATTGAGAGATGAAGGGCAACACTGTAAAAAGATATTAGAATAGTTAAGCTTTCATCAGTTTATCAGACCTTTTCACAGGAGTCCTTTCAGTAATTGTAGCCAACCAGAATATGAAATATCAGTGACACCCTTCAATTAAATTGACTAGCGCTAGTATTTAAATACTGGTATCATTTGGGTTTGATGTGAATACATTTTAATTAGCACAGATGCCTGAAATTGGATAAAACAGTCTGCCCAATGGGTTTGTTCAACCTTTGGCATGAACATGCAAGCTGGCCACATTCAAACACCAAGTGATTTAGTCCTGCAGATCATCCAGCGCTCTATCGTAAAATCAAAAGTGAGCAAATATGGCAAATGGGTCAACTAGAATATGGAGACTGTCTGACGAAAACCTGGTGGAGCAGACTACTGGGACAGTGGTTAACAGGCCGCGTGTAATTTGTGAAGGTTAAATCAGAGAGGGAGTACAGAAGGAGAAGGTGCCAGAATGTGGATGTGGAGTCTCTAAAAGCACACGAAAATGAGCTCTCCCCGGTCCTCTCACCGGTCCTCTCCTCTTCAGCCTCCGTTCCAGTTGGGTACAGTGTATATTAGCTTCTTTATTGAGATTCCCCATCTGAATTAAACCCGTGTTGAAGTAACTGCAGTTCCCTTGGCGCAGCGTGTGGTTCAGTGGGCTAAGGCTGTCTACCTGTAATCACAAGGTCACCAGTTCAAACCCAGCCTCAGCACATCTGTGGGCCCTTGAGCAAGGCCCTTAACCCCCCAGCTCCCTGGGTGCCGCTATGGGTGGCTGCCCTTCACGGACAGCTTACTCTACAAAGAGCAAGTTGAGGGAGGCGTAAAAAGAATTTTCCCATGGGGACAATGAAGGATTGATTATTATTACAGGTCTGAACAGAAAATCCAACAAAAACATGCATGGTGACATTTCAATGGAGCCACACAGCTGTTAAATGTGAGGTAAAAGGGGTGAGATCTTTCTTACCTCTGAAAAGCTGAGAGGTTGGCAACATGGATATTCTGGCTGAAACGTAAAAACAAAAAAGCACGATAAGAATGTAAAGAATGTGGAAGACAGAAGGCAATGAGCTAACGGGGGTGTGATCTGTGATATGAGCCCATTTATCATGGCAGATGAGTCTGGGCCCACCGGCTGTCTCCTCTAGTTCCACTTTCCACATAAGAACATAAGAAATTTACAAATGAGAGGAGGCAATTCAGCTCAGCAAGCTTGTTTGGGGAGAACTTAACTAATAGCTCAGAGTTGTTATCTTATCTAGATCTGATTTAAAGGAACCCAAGGTTTTAGCTTGTACTACACTAACAGGAAGACTATTCCATACTCTGACTACACGCTGTGTAGAGAAGTGCTTTCTCAAGATGTGCCACCGACTGCTAATATCTGAATTATTTCCCAGTTCCCGTAAGATGATTTCTCCTAAAGCAGCGCTGGGCTCCACAAGAGAGATTATCCCATCCCATTGTGAGCCTCCCCAGCCCAGGTCAGGTGGGGAGCGTGCACTGGTACAGCGTGTTGCCACGGCCATCACACAAATAAACAACTCTGACCACATGGCCGTAATGCCGTAACTGAGGCTCCCTCACAATGCAGGTAATGTGCCTCATTCGGGACTTCCTGAGCAACCGCTCATTCGACACCAAGTCAAACCAGCAACACCCAAGGATTCTCCGAAGAGACACAGTAGCAAAGGAGTCCTGTCTTCACCTCAGCTCACTGGATAGCATCCATGTCCCACAGGCATACAGCAAAACAGGGAGCACCAGGACTCTAAAGACTTGGTCCATCATCCTCTTACAACGATATCAGGAGCAACCAATGTTGGGCAGATGCTAACCAGTTGCATTATTGTAAGTAAGAAGGAAGCAAGCCATATATTTAAGATGGTCTTTTGGAAAGCTTACATTACTTGCCCCCTCAATCCACTCACCCTACACCTCATCCTTCATCTCTGAGCTACAGCTGGCTACAGTTGGCTCTAACTGGCAGCTGCCACTCACATTTCACAGCTCAGCTGGCGGATTTGCCCGAAGAAACTTTTCCACAGCTGAGTGTGCAGCTGAGTACAATGGCGTGACTCCTGCAGGGATGGCCCCCAGTCTTTGGCCCCCAGTCTTTGGCCCCCAGTCTTTGGCCCCCAGTCTTTGACCATTCGGGTAGCTACTGTGTTTACTAAATGCTTTCTTATAGATGGCCTTCTCCCAGTGAAGCTCTCCTTTCTCGTAACATATTCTACTTTTTGGTTGCTGTCCAACAAACTCTGACATACCAGGCATTTTGCAAGAGATCCTTATAAACTTTAAGTCCATTTGAAGATCAGTCACTCTACACACATAAAAGAAGCTTGACAATGCTACCAAGTTGTCGCCGAAGAAACTAAGAGCTAGACACTCATACTCTGGTTCTTCAAGGGCCTGATAGTGTAAAATACGCTTCCTGACACAGAGAGAGATGGCAGTAAAGTAAGTCATTCAGTTATAGAGTAACCAGAGGCCTGCAAGCACAGATCAAGGTACACTGATTTATCATGATATGCAGCTTCGAAACAGCTCCTCAGACATTTATATATATTTTAGGATAGATTATTATCTAACATGAGCAACAATGCAGATTATAGGGTTTTACATTTTAAAATGTTTCATGATTACAGAATATAAGATAAGAGATTACTTTCATCAAAGCAGAATTGGGTCGTGACATCATTTTAACGCCCAATCAATCAAGGTCTTTTATATTTGGAAAAGAAAGCCCAGAATGAATAGAAAGTGAAAAATAGTTTGTTTGTTTTTTACTCACGGTTTTTTTGCAGGCTTCTGGACAATTCTGTAAAAGAGCAACACATAATTTCATCAGACACGTCCAGCTAACTCCACATCAGGACAACAAAGTCTAGTTGATATGAGAGCATGGGAAATGGTTCGTCATTCACCAAGCAATCAAGCTGCGTTTCCCTACCTTCACCGCGTTTTCCAGGCCTTTGATGAACTTGACGTATTCCGTCGTCTTGACGCACAGTCCATCTGAGTAGCTCGACAAGGCACAGAGCAAAAGGAGGAAAGTCGGTGTGTCTCTCATCATCCTGTCACTCCTCAGGTGGCAATGCTGATGCTCAGAAGGTGCTTTGGAGCTTATGAATGGAACCAGCTTCTGTGCTGTGCCTTTTAAAATCTCCACGCAGGGAAACCCCTTTCAGCTATGCACTCCCCCACATGCATTTTTTTATATTTGTATGAAAACCATTAGTTTAGCAAAGACATCAGCAACAGCCTTATCAGATAGAATTGCCTACCACATAGGCACTCCCATTCATCTGATTATCATCAGGAAATAATGAACCAGAACCAATCTGACAATGAAAGTCAAGCAAGGATCCAATATAACCTGAGGTTGACTTCGTAGTTCATCTCCCACTTAGCAGGTCTATTTGGCTATTGTAGTTGGCCTGGAATTGGAGAAATACCATTATCTCAGCTCAGCTACGTGGTTTTGAAGCAAAATTTAGATTGATAGTCAAATGTTCTTCAACATGGGCCGAAAGTTTTCCTGGCTTGACCGTCAGCAACATTAGACATTATAGATGAAAGCTATCTATTGATTCTCGAGCACGACTCAAAGCAATACTGTTAAATGTAAAAAAAAAAAAAAACAAGAAAAAAATGAGCTTGATGAAAAATGTATGTGGAAAGTGATAATATCTAACAACTGGAACAATTATTGAAAACTCGCAGGCAAAAACACAATAGATTTAAACCACTAATGTTTTCCAAAAATGTGACACTTGGGCAAGTTTAGTATGACAAATAAAACAGAATGAAACAAAGTGAAACTATGGCGTGGTGTGTTGGACGCACGAGTGGGTTTATGGAACACGTGTGTGACCCTCGCTGTCACAGACAGGTATCCCAGTCAAACCAGTCCAGTTTGGAGTGTGGAGGGTCCTCAGTGTGGCTCTCGTGGGGGAAACAAAAGAGGGCTGTTCAAACCGGCTGTGCTCACAAAGGGGGGGGGGGGGAGTATGGTGAGATCTATGTAGCGTGAACATTTGGACCCCAGAAAGCAGATCCCATCACAGCGTGAGTGAAGGTTTCCCATGGGGCTCTGCTCCAGCAGGACTGCTGTGGTCCTGGCTCCAGCACATCTCCTCACCGTGGAGGTGGCCAGCCAGGCAGATAGTGGGGGCCGGGAAAAGGGCGCCCCAGCCCCGGAGATGGAAGCCGGGGCTGAGGGTGGAGGAGGAGGCGGCACCGGCGGGGCCGGGGGCCCCAACCCCCTCCAGACTAAGGGCTACCCCCCCAGGTGCCTCAGGAGGCTGAGGAAGTGGAGCAGGAGGAGACGGGCAGAGGCGAGCTGGAGGACCTGCTGCGGTTTTCCGACGGGGGGAGCCTGAGGAGCGAGTTCCTGGAGTGAGGAGGTTGCTGCTCGTGAACCACCTTCACCCCCTCAAACCCCCCCCCCCCCCCAGGATGAGGGACATACC